TTGTTATTTTCTATTTTTAACATTTGGAGGCACGTAAACATTTGCATTGTTTTGGTAAATTTCTCAAGATTAAAGTCAGTGTCAGTAATCCTGCTGTACCTTCACACAGGATTTGTGACTGGAGGTTAGAGGTCATGAAATAAATGAAAGTACTGCAGAAGGACGAGTTGGTCCATGCATTTAAACTCAAACTAAATAAAGCAGTAGCCTAAAATCTGAAACATTTGAACCACCGAACATGTATGGAAAGAAAACAGAGGGATAAGGAGGAATTTAAAGAAACTGGAGATGCAAGATAGTCTTGTGCTGTGCATAGGCAACAGTATCAGCTGGCCTGCAGATATATATATATATATATAAATTGATAGATAAAGATTTAGACAGACAGACAGGAAGCCACTTCCTTAGTATTACTTTTTTTCACAAGTTTAAACCCAATAGAAGAACTGAGCATTTTGGTACCTTTTAGTCTCGCTAGTTTGTATGTAATGTCTTCACATAGCCCGCTGCATCAATCGCCTTGTTTCACCCGGATTTGTTCTTCTATCCTCCTAAAGCCTTCTAAACCCGGACAGGGGCTAAATGAACATGCCCACTCATGAACAGTTTTGCTTAATTACAATCCCTGATGGAAAACCTGCTGGAGGAGAAAAACGGAATATATTAACTCGGATGCAAGGAACATCAGCGTTTGCCTCCATCGGTATCAAATTATTGTGAAAGGCTTGTTTTTTTTCCTCTGTCCAACATAAAACACAAACACATGCTGTATGTGCTTACAGATGCATTTTATTTGGTTTATGAAAGGAAATGTTATTGTGTTATATGCCAAAGTGCAGTAATAGCTACAAAAGGGGATATGATGACTGCAGTCATTTGAAATTATGATTTTATAACATGTAGGAGTTACTAACAAAATAACATCTCAATGTTAGCAAAAAAATTTAAATATGTGTTTTGTCCAAATAAACTCCTAATTTCTTTTTCATCTTAAATAGAAAATAAAAATTTAACTAAATCAAAATATATTCTTATAAATAAGAAAACCTAAAATGATTTGAATAATAAACTATAAAAAACATCTTCATCTTCCCTTACTGCCGACAATGTGCATTCAAGAGGAATAGGGAATGTATGTTAAAGTTTACAGACTTGAATTGAGACTTCAACAGTACTTTAGGATTTTAATGATTAGAATATATAGAAATGATTCGTGTTAATCCTTCAAAAAATCTTCCAAAGCAAATGGAGTCTATTTCAGCGGTTAGCCAAATCATTGCTATGAATCCCACATTACTCTGCTCAGACAAGAGCTGCTGGTTTTAGGAGAAATGTAGACTACACATAAATTATTCAGCAGTATTTGCATTTGCATTGTAATTTGCATGCTTGCAGATTAGAGAGAATGAGGAAGGAGGCGCTGCACCAAAGAGAATTACATTTTGAACCATTTTCAGTCCTGCTGGTAAGGAGATGACACAGATTTTTCTTCCATCGCCCTCTTTCTGTATCGAGGTATGCTACTGAGATCAGTTCCTCACATTTCAAACTGTTGTTTGATTAATAAAAGAAGGAAATGCGTGTTTAATGCTTAGCAATGCCTGTGCACAAAAAGCGTCACCATTAAAAATGAATTGCGACATTCAACAATAAGTCTCTTTGATTGACTTGGCTGAGATTTCTACTGTAATATTCCCATTGTATTTATTAATATTTGAAGCTCTATGCTTGAAGCTGAAGCTTAAAAGAGCTAGTAAGTGCAGAGGAGATGTCCTAGGATTAAACAATAGGAGTGGCGTGAAACTTTTACAGTGTGCCGAAGATCCTGGCTATTATGTTTAATCTAAAAATAACAAGGCTGACTAAAAAGGACAGACAACACTGGCTAAGAAAAGAATAAAAGGAGCTCAGGCTCCAGAGAGCTGAGAGTTCAAAGAGCTGCAGTAACAGTGCTGAGTGGGATGAGGACAAGGAGAATAGAAAAATCTGAATTTGTCTTTGGTTTAAAAAAAAAATAAAAATCATTCAGACATGTATAAATTTAAAAAGCTGTGATTATCAAAATTGACCTACCAAGATTGTTTGTAAAAAAAATTTGTCTTTGAAAATTTGAAATATTTTATTTCTCTTAGTATATTTTTCCTCTGCGTTAATCGTGATATTGCTAAGCTAAACTGGGTTTAGTTTTTTGACATTTGTATTAGTGAAAAACTATCATGCAAGAATGCAAGTGCAAGGAGATATTTTTATTAAAAAATACTAACGCGGCATGAAAGAATATTCTGGAGCTGTATGCATTTGTGGGTCTGCCATGAGAACAGCAGTATGCATCAAGGGGGTGGAGTAGATATCCCTGCAATAAGAGAGGAGGGCTTAGGCAATATATGCGCATGTGCAAATAAAGCAAAAAAAAAAAAAGCTAAGCCTTCATATACCATAGAAATGAATATGCTCTTCTGTAATATATCCTGGTTGCAGCCACACAAGCACAAACGTACAAAACCTGAGCTGATTGTTACCATCTGATAAGACCCTTAGCCTGCTTTCAAGTGAATGCAACAAAATCCACCAACTATTGACATTAACCTGGAACATGCAAGGCAAAATGAAGATAAAATAAAAATAACTTTTAAATATAATAGAAAATATGTTTTACAGAAGCCTTTAAGAGCTACATACAGACAATGAGACTTAAACAAAATCCCATACAGCTACTTAGGGCATACAGAATTCTGTTATGAAGAACGTCAGACTTAACATCGCTCTACATTAAGCATTGGGCCATGTGCAGACATTTTATAATATATTGGTATTTAGTACAAAATTTAAAAACAAGACATTTTAAATATTATATTTCCCATGCATTTCAAACCTATCTAAACTGCACATTTGTAAATTGGATAATTATAAATCTGTTATTAAATATAATTAAATTTCATCAGATTTTTCAAGTAAAGGTAAAACTTTATTTCTTGTGCAGTTATTGTTTTATCCTTCCATTTCCTCTCTAGAAAAAGGCAACAGAGGCTGAACAAATGTTCATAACAATTGTATAGAGTGCATAATCTCAGAGCACACAATACATTAAATCTTTAAGCAGATAGGCAAAAAAACCAGAACAGATCAGTTGACACTAGTATGTGCTAAGAAAAGGTGATTGAGGCTATGATTTCAAAGCTATCTAAACTGCACATTTGTAATATGGATAATTCTGTTTTCAAACATACATATCATCAGATTTTTCAAGTCAAGGTAAAAGTTTACTTTTAAAGGGTTAAAGTCCTACAGACTTACAAACTTTAACACAAAAGGAAATAGTCTTGATTTCAGAGTAATGATTTACAATAAAACAAGATGAAAACATCTATGAAAAGTAAAAAATCTTGGTATTGTAGAGCTGTCAATTTAGAAGACAGCTCTACAGTATGACACATAAAACACCGTTTGAAGAAAAACAGTCATGCTTTTGGACTGTGGGAGGAAGCTGGAGTACCCGGAGAGAACCCACACATGTACAGGGGAGACAGAATCAAACCCAAGACCTTCTTGTAGCAAGGCAGCAGTGCTACAAACGGTGTCACTCTGCAGTTCATATTTCTGACATTTTGTTAAATTCATGCTATATAAAATTAAGGAAATGCTTGAGGTTAACGAAGGGACTGATGATAATGCAGCCAATAAAGTGTCCACATTTTATTCTTTTTACAAATATGAAAAAACTAAAAAGGGCACATTCGTTCACTAACCATTTTAAATTGTATCATTTTACAGTGTAAAATATTATGAGCTAAATGTAATAGCTACATGTAATACTCTGTGTGTTGGTAACCTGAAAAAAAAAGTTCACGTATAGAGATCTGGTTATTTATTTTCAGTAAAAGTGGATCATCCACTGCGTCTGCTCTGACGTGCTGTGCCTACCAGCAACTACAAATCTGTCATGTGTGCTACGGCGGTCCTACAGGATAGTTATAGTAAACTCCGAGACGCCTATATTAAATAATAGTCGTCATGTTTTAAAATAAAATTTAAAAAGCGCAAAAAACATCTAAAAACTATGTATGAATATCTTTAATAGTTGAAGGTTTTTTGTCTTTATACGATTTTAATACTTTTGTTGGCTCGAGTTTCGCATTTCTATTCAGGCACATCTGAAGACCCCTATTCACTAAGAGTTTTCAGTGTGACCTCTACTGCAGTTGAAAATACTTGAGAGCGGAGACTGCATCTTTAGATTTTTCTGACGATGTAGCCTATCTCTGTGTAGATAGAGTGACTGAATTTCTTTTAGCAGGAGCCCTTTCATTTTTGTCCTCAGCCATCGCAACAAGGGCATATGTGCGCCTTTCTGCTTGATTTCGGAGTAGGGGTGCTGTGTGTTGCTGGGGTAGAGTCCGTTTTAGCAGCACTGCATCAACATGGTGAGTATGACATCGAGCACCTGCACGCAATGCTTCCACTCTTTTACCGTTATCACAGAAAAAATATCAATATATTAAGATATATGCAGTGGCTCCACTATTTTGTTTACGTTAGCTGTCATATATTTTAGATTAGCTGTCAGATATAGGTTAAAAATCCTCTGTTTAGCTTAGCCTGTTAGCCCTAGCAGGTGTATTTAGCTGTTGCTTTATCACTTCTAACAGCTCTCTTTTAATAATATATTTGTCATATTGTTAGATATGCTTTTGGTGTCAAGATGGCTTATGTTACACTGAATGTAAGTTTATTCAATTTAAAGCAGGATATCAGTGGAGCTCTTTATTAGCTTCCTAGCTATAAAATTAGCCAATATGGAGAAAAATAACCTGAGTTGTTATCAATTGTATGACCATTCACAGTGATTGGACGAAATATTTTAACCCTTGATTGGACAAATGATATTACGATATGTTTATTAAAGCAGAAATAAGAAAATAACTTGATGGCAGACACGTGTCACTTAGGTCAAAGCTGGGTACCAGGTGTGTTCATTCATTTGACCTCCAGACGCTCTCAGGTAGACTGTCAGGAACATCTGACACACACTCATTTTTAAACCTGTCACAGTTATCATATCTAAATCTGTCAGAGTTATTGCAAGTTCAAAATTTGCTAACTTCTTGTTTACCAATGTATAAACAAACCTTAGTAGTAATAAGCATACATGCCATAATTTAGTGATTATTTATAACATCACTTTTAAAAGATCTTAGGTTTGTTCTATATCAATTGTTTCTTTAAAAAACACTTAAAGCTATTTAATGGATCTTGGATATGGATAGTCACTAAAACAGAAGCGATATGGCAATTAGTTAGCCTGATAAACCAGACTAAATGTGAGAATAAATGTGGAATTTAGTCTGGTCCCGATGAATGAGACATTGGAAGATTGTTGATGAGAACAACCCAGTGTCTTTCAACCCATGGCCGTTTCTCAATATACGTTCTTGTGTGCTTGTGATACTTCATCAGCCTCAGCCCGAGCACTGTTCCAATTGCCGAGAACCCAAAACCGAGATCGCACCAAATCCCCGGATGTTGTTCTCGCCCCGCCTTCTTTATTGAGTATGCATCAGAGCAGACTTGTCCGTTCTTGAGATTGACAGCTGTCCCAGCATGCACTGCGGCAGCAGCAGCTTTCAATGGGGCGCTCCATTGAAACTTAAAAGTTCTCTTTTCTGTTGCTGTTGTTCAATAAAAGTACGTTTTAAGATCATTTGAGGCGAGAATATTATACTTTAAAGCGTCTCTATATGGTCCATTTACTGATTTAATGCGTAATTTAAAAAAAAGATTTCCGAAGTTGAGAGGACCTCGGCAACCAGCGGAGCTCCAAAGCTAACGGCAGCCAGGGCTAACCGCAGCCTGTGTATGGCAGCCCTCTCTCGGCATAGCCGTGTGTGAAGGACTGCTGGCTCTGATGGCGATTTGTTTTTTGTGTGTGTTTTATTTGGCAAAATGTTCATTTGATTTGTGTTTATCTGACTGTGTTAATAATTATTCCCCCATTAAATGAAAAAAGTCAGAATTTATTATTACATAGAGACTATTAATAACAGGAGGTGAAATGCATCTCTAGACGAGCTGATCCTGTGGTGACGTCACGAGTATGCTTCTGTTCAAATTGACCCATATCTATGCTGCGTGCTCGTATTCTCATCAAGTCCAGACTTTCCTTTGTTCTTGCCAAGACCGGATTTGATGAGAACGCGAGTCTGTACTCGCGTTCCCGTGAATTGAGAAACGGCTCGTGTCTGTGCCTATCGGCCAACGCTCTGACTAATGAGCGCAACTGACTGTGACCTAGGAAGCACGACAGAAAGCTGGTGGGGGAGTGTAAACAAACAGCCTGTCGGTAAAACGGCGAATACGTACTTATTAAAAATGAATGAGCGTAGAACCTCTTCCTGCTCACGTTTCAACGAAAACCCCAAGTCTAATCCTTCCAAAACTGATTCTAAAGCGGAGTCAAACGAGAACTATTCAATAGTTGTTGCCATCTTCCTTGTTGTGCTTTCTCTAGCGTCGCGCAGCTTTGTTGTCCGGCCCTCAAAACCCCGCCCGCTTTGCATCCAAAAATTCAAAAACACATCTCTGCATTGTGATCAGCCCGCCACTTTTAGAGCCTGGGGCATCCGTTTAACCTTAACCATCCGTTTAAATGGGATTGTTGTCTGCTGTCATCAAACTACGTGTAGCCATAATGCTATTTTAAGTATAACAAGCATGTGACTACAAAGGCTTCCTGCTTAGAAAAGCACCACTACTACCTCATATGTCACATTTACAGGGCTTTCTCTTCAGATATTTTTTTTTTCCTGTGTACACATCAACGGAGGTTAGGATGCTTTCAAAACGTAACACATTGGAACCTGTTTTCAATTACAACATGGACGTTTGTGGTTTACAAGAGGGTTTGAAACTGAACAAAACTTTTCCACTTTTACCAGAAAATGTTGTGTAAACAGGCCTTAACTATTTTCTTGGTCTCAATAAGTTTGTAAAAAAAAAATTTAGAGTGCCAAAAAAAGTACTATCTCATCCTTTATTCCCAAACCAATTTTCTAAATGTAGCAGCCATCCACCTGCAACCTACATCTGGTCAGTTACTTTTTATTTGTATGATTCATTTAAAATAGCCACTAAAAACTTATTTACACCATTTATTTTTTATGGAAACAAGGTAAATCTCAAACATCCACAGCACAAAGATATAATGGTTATGATATAGTCAAAAATTGTGTTTATTTATTGATCTCGCTTGCAGCCCTGTCAACATAGAACCATGAAAATTAGAAATAAAAAATGTGTATATATATGTATATAGATGGTTACACTTTACTAAATTAGGTATATATGAAATGCCCATTTACAGAGAATGTATATTTCTTGTTTCTATATGAAAAAGTCAAAGAACTTGGGCAGATCAGATCATCTTAATATTTTTGTTTAGCTATGGCAAAACACTTTAGATTTAATATTAAGCTAGAATATTAACATTTTATGATGAAAGATTACATTTCATATTCTGACATTCATAGTTTTTACAAAATACCTCATGAATGGTTTTTTATCACTTTAAATTGTAGACATATACAGGCAGCTGAAGACCCCATAGTCCCTGGTCCCAGTAATGCTGCTACTGCTTGGTTAGTTTAACTAACCTAGTTAGCAGCTAGTTGGTATATCTGAGGGACTCTGCCACTCTAAAAACATATTTGAAAGTACAATCAAAATCTTGATCAACAGACTGTAAGGTTCTGAGGTAGACTTTCCAAGTTAGAACATCTTTAAATTGCTTTTTAATGAACGAGTAAGGACTGACACATTTTCTGACGTTATGGCTGCATTTGGTTGGGGATCACACTTGATGTCCCTGCTCAGTAGGTAGCCCATACCGGCCTGAATCTGGGGCTCTAAACGCTTCAACATTAGTTCAAAAGGAGCTCCAACTTCACATCCTTTCTGAGTAAACAGTCTGAACCGACTTGCCCTAAAGACCCAGGACTCTGCTGTTTTTGAAGCTGTGAAGCTGAATCCCTTGAGTTGATCAGTTGCCATACAAGTAGAGGCCATTTACCATTTAAAAGTTGTTTTTTTTGTCATTCGTTTTTTTTGACAATAGCTTCATTGATTTTTCTGTTTTTAGAAAACATAATGTCAAAAATGAAAACAAAACCAAACAAAAATCCCACATGGTGGCAAAGACAATAAAAAATAAAATTAATAATATAAATAAATTAAATGGATGAATGCAATGACAAAGCTAAACTGACAGTTGAGAGGGTGTTATAGAACGACTCAGACACAGATTTTAGCAGGGGTAGGTAATTCCAGTTCCTGAGGGCCAGTTTCCTGCAACTTTTAGATGTGCCTTTAGTTCAACACACCTGATCAAGTATTTAAATGATTGAGATGACTCTACAGGAACTAAATGCATAATGAGGAGGTAACTCAGCTATTTGATTGGCTGAGTTGGACCAGCCAATCAAATGGCTGAGTTGGACCAAGGATGGATGTAAAAGTTGCAGGATACTGGCCCCCCGGAACTGAAATTTCCCAGACCTGTTATACAGTCTAGTGCTTGGTTAACATCAAAACTCAAAAGTCTAATTCTAAATGTTTTTCCACATAAGCCATGGAGGCCTTTCTGTACAGTCTGTGCAGTTGCAGAACCAATGTAATCCAAGAAAAGAGTCCAGGTTTTGCCAATTCTTACTCCGGTAATTCAGTGCTTCCAAAGGGCTGAGTTCCATTGTACTTTGGAACCACTGTAAGAGCTTAGGAAGTTTGACTCAAGTAGATACCTCATCTGGCATTTAAACGGTTTTTATGCAAAGCCTTAGTACTTTGAAAAAATATCCAATTGAAATTAATTATAAAGTTTTTCTTAATACCTTAATATTAGATAAGAAAGCAGTTGATAACTCTGGAAGTTTGTGTGAAAGTGTTGACACTTTACTGACATGAAGAATTTGTTAGAATTCTTTCATTCACCAGGGCTGTCATGTATCATTCCATTATTTACAACCACTTGTAAATAAGTAGTCCCAAATGTATGAAAAATTAATCTGGTGATAACGGATAAACAGTTTGCCATATATTACTCTTGTGTATTTTTCTAAACATTTTAATTAAAATTTCTCATTGCTGGGGTTTGTATTTACTTTTGTAATTACATGTGTATATAAGTGCTTTTAGGTTATTGACAAATTTAATCTCATTTATGACCAGGCCAACATAATGACAACTGTTTCTGACCTGGTGTGACTAGCTTCTAGAATTAGAGCTAACAGGTCTGATTTGCAAACAACGTTTAGCAACTTGAATGGTTTGTTTAAAAAAAAAAAAATTCTGTGTTAGCATGTGTATGCTTGTGGTGTGTTCAAAAACAGCTGAAAAGAAGTTACTAAACTCTAGAAATGGGTTTAACAGTTGTAATGGTTGAATGAGATCCATATTTTGCCATGTTTTATTTAAAAAAACTCCAAGAAAAAAGTGAGACTTGCTTAAAAAAAGAATAGGCTGTATGATCAGCCAACGACACTCAGTATTGTGTGTTGTCTTTTTTTCGCTGCCCAGCCAACGTGGCAGGTAGATTGACAGTTTCACCTGCCAATCACAAACGTTTTCCGCATATGCTGGGTTTGTGTGTGCCAATTTCATGCTATATATATATATATATATATATATATATATATATATATATATATATAT